CTAATTTATTCTTAGGAATATTTTTATAGCAAGTTTTTTTAGAACATAATTTTCGAGAACATTATTAGTTTTTCTAGAACATTATTAACATTATTTTTATAGCATATTTTTCTAGAACATTACAGGAATAATTTTATGGCAAGTTTTATTAGAACATTAACTGATCTGATTTTTTAGAATCCATTTTGTCTGAGGTATATTCTTAAGGCCGTTTTTCGAAGGCTCCGTCGTAACATGAAATGATGCTTTTTTGTTGTTAGTATGCAACTGTTGCACATGCCTATTAGGTCAAGTTTAGCCTATCCAAAGTTAGCGCTGTCTACGCTTATTTTAAAAATGGTGCGAAACGTCAATATGGAAAAAAGACACAGTTTTATGAAAATGAAAAGCGTTTTGGGGTAATATTTAATGTTCAAAAACTTACTAAAATGCTGTATTACCTGTGCTCATAAAAATTTGCAAAAACTGAGAATAAGGCAGTGATTTTGATAACTTTTATCTAGGTGGAAAACTGTGGCCGAATTGGCGATTTTTAAAAAAGTTTAAAAACTTTTAAAATATTTAAGTAATTTGCGAGTTCTAAAGCCCAGATAATTTTTCATGGTGAGATTATAAATTTAGTTTAAAATCATTGCATTGCTGCAAGTGTAAGGAACTTAAAGTATTACTTTTTTTATTTTCCTTGGTGACAGAGTTTCGAAAAACAGAGTTAATGTAATTTATTCTAGAACATTTTGTGTCTGACTTTTAGTTGGTTTATTCTGAAGAATATTCTTAGTATAATGTATTCTAGAAAATTTTTGTCTGATTATTTTTAGTTTGTTCATTCTAAAGAATACTCGTAGTGTAATGTGTACTTGAACATTTTTTGCCCAATTACATTTAGGTAAGTTTGTTTTAAGAAATATTTTCAATGTAATTTGCTTCAAAACACTATTTATCTAATTACTTTTAGCTAGTTTATTCTAACACGAATATTCTGAATGCACATTGTTCCAGAATATTATTTATCTTTTAGTTAGATTACTCTAATGAGTATATTTAGAACAATATTTTTTTTGTAGAATATAATTTGAAATATTAATTTTATTTTTAGTTTATTCTTAATGAATTACATTTTTGTTATGACTTATTTAGTTATATATATATATA